CCACCTCCACCCCCTCCTCAAGTGCTGTCCTCACCTCAAACCGGAAAGGGAGTTGGGCGGCGCAGAGCACCACCGAAGATGCGTCAAAAGAGCAAAAGGAAGGAGAAGCAACTGCGCTTGCCGAAGGTGCCCGAGCGAATCAGCCGACTGAAAGTTCAAAGCAATCACCTGCGCACTCTTCTCCCACCGCTGCTGAGGGCGTGCCTGCCGTCGTCGGCGGGCCGACTCAAGAGGGCACGGTGGGGAAAGCCGCCGCGGAGGCTTCACCGCCTGAGAGCGCGGTGCAACAAAACGCGGTCCAGCGCGACAATACTCGCGCCTCCACGGCAGTCGCTGGGGAAACTTCAGAAGCGGCACAAGACACTGCCGGTGGCGGGGGAAGTAATAACTCCGGGAGTAACAGCGGCAGCGGACCCGCGGCGCAGCCGCAGCCGGAGAGTTCCGTGGCGACAACCGAGGCTGGTGATGCACAACAAAAGGAGCTGCCCACTTTCCAAAGCCAAACGGAAAAGAGTGGTGGCAGCAAAGAACAAGCCGCTCAGCCGGCAGCGGGGGTGGCTGCTCAAGCGGCGACCACCACCAACGTGACGAGTGCAGCGAAGGCGGTGCCCGGCGACAGCGACGGCAGCAGCACCGTGGCCGCGCACTCCCCCTCCCCCTTGCGCTGCTTCTTCTGCTTGCGTGTGCGGCTGCCGCTGCGGTGCCGGCTGCGTGAGAGACAGAGTGAGAAGGAGAGGGCCGTGCACACATAACTCGCCCTTTTCTGTTTCTTTCACGTTCTTTTTGTTTCCCTGCACGGACTCTCTCGCCCTCGCCGCACCCCACGAGGCACTCACACATAATGTGCTCGTATATATACACAACTCCACTCATGCAGGCTCGTCGGTCATCCTCTTCCTCCTTTGCTTCCGACGAGCCGTTGCCGTCCTGCTTGGCTGCATGGGTACAGCACCGTAACTGTTTTTTATCCTTTTTTGTTTTTTGTTCGTTTCCATTGCTTTCAGTGGGCGGCCTCTCTCTCTCTCTATCTCTTCCTGGATTGGGCTGTGCGGGAACAGAGAGAGAGATGGAGTGCGTGTCCTGGTCGTCCCACGTGTTGCTGCGCGTCCCCACTGCTCGGTGGACGCGCCCCACGCTTCGGCCTCACTTCACGGGTTTGTTTATTTTGTTTTGTGTGTTTGTTGCTTGACTGCGCCCATTGCGCGGGCTGCTGAAGTGTGATGTGTATGCGTGTGCCACAACGTGCGGGTGGTGGCCCTCTCTCTCCCTCTCTCTCTTGCTGTGTGGCTGCGTGGGGTCGTGTGTCTGTGCCTATTTTTTGCCTCACCCCCTCTCGTTCTCCCTTTTGGCTGGTGGTGGGTGTTCAGCCGCAGCGCAAGCCAACGACAACTGCAAAGGAAGGAAATCATGTGAGCAATGCCTGGGAGACGCGAGGAAGGAGTTCGCGCTGCTGCGGGGCGCTTTGCATGTGCTGCGCCGCAGGGACGGCGTCGGTGGAGGTTGGGGCCCGCCGGCGGCACTCGGCAGCCCGCAGCGCAGCGCGGAAGGGCGGAGGAGGCACCGCCGCGGCCACAGTGAGCCGTTGACCGCACGGTGGAGGGGAGTGTGCGAGTTTGTGCTCAACGCGAAGTGGAGCCACGTCTTGGGGTTTCCTGCGGCTGAAGGGAGGGGGAAGTGGCGGTGCGGACGGCGGTGGAACGGGGCCACACACTCACCAACGCAGTCGGGGGCGTGCACGGTGCAGGGGACAACTCCTCCACTGCAGGACAGCGTCGAGCAGCTTCGTGCACCGCGTCCCAGCGTGATGGGACTCGCCGCCGCTGAGGGCTGGCCGTGCCCGCTGAGGGAGGGAGGGAACATCGCCGGCTGCTGCGTTCACTCTGCGGTGGGGCGGGTGTGGCGGGTTGTCAAGGGCGGTTGGGACGGGGCGCTGCGCACCAAAGGACCAAAATTGTTTGAGGTGAGGCGGCGTGTCTTGATTGGGGCGCCCGGGGTGGCGGCCTCGGTGGTGGACGAGTGCCGGCCCCTACCCCCTCCACCGGTCGCTGCACCGCGATGAGTGCCCGCTCCACTTTGTTCTCTGCTGCCTCGGAGGCGAGTTGGCGGACGTGTTCGGCACGGCCACGCAAACGGCGACAGGGCACGAGGGCGAGCTCGAGGTCCGAGGGCGTGTGAGCGACTTGTCGTGGCGGGCAAGAGGGTGTGTATTGTCTACGATGCGCCAGAGGAAGGAGCACCGCTGCCGTGGGTAAACTTACGGCCTTGTGGGTGGGGCATGATTGCGTGTTGGCGTCCGCAAAGGGAAATAACTCCAGAGCACTGGCGATGCGACTGCATCTCTGCCTCCCCCCACCATGCGCTGCCGCGACGAGAAGGAGGCGAAGGCGACGTGTGCCCGGCGGACGCGCGCCATCATCCCGCGCAGGAGCAAAAGAAGTAGTGGGAGGCGGTCGCGGGTCGCATGCAGCTTGTCGGCCCGCTGCCGCGTGGCATCTTCAGTGCGGCTGCGTTCGATGGGCGCACTGCGGCGGGTGACGGCGCCCTGCAGGCGACTGGCGCCCCGGTTGCCGAGGAGGACTATGATTGGGAAGGCGAGAAACTGTGGGGTGCGGGGAATCCGTTTTGGAGGCTGAGAAGATTGAGCGGGAGCGTGGCGCTCGCGGTGTGGAGGCCGTGCGGCACACAAATGTGTGTTGCCTCTTTGATCTTCGAATGGGGACACGTTTGTGTGGGGGTTCTGGGCCCC